TAATTCTCTCAAAAAGCTTACCCAGGATCGAGGTAAAACTAACTGGCCTATAGTTTCCTGGGTCCTCCTTCCTCCTTTTTTTGAAAATGGGAACCACACTGGCCCTTTTCCGGTCCTCTGGCACCTCACCGGTGCACCACGAGTGCTCGTAAAGCCGTGCCAGGGGTCCCGCAATGACCTCTGCTAATTCCCTCAGCACTCTGGGGTGGAGATCGTCAGGGCCAGCTGATTTAAATATGTCCAGTCCCTCCAGAAGTTTCCCAACTAGATCCTCACTGACCCTAGGCCTGGGTGCGCCTCCCCCGGGGCCTGAGGGGGTCTGTCGCGGCTCCCCTTCTCCCTCCCGCCGCCGCTCTGCCGCAAGCTTTTCCTGCGCCCACTCCCCTCCCTCCTTGTTCTTGCTGGAGTGGGCTGCCAGGCGTGCAAGGAGGGCCGCCCTGGTCCCGTGAACTACGGCTGTGCGCCCAGAACCACCCGGACAGGGTGACGACAGGTTCTGCTACGGGAAAACAAGCAGCTCTTTTCGGACCGGGAAGCCCGCAGGGTGCGTAGCCCCGGGGATTCTGCGCTCGTTTGCTGAGAGAGCTGGCCGGAGCAAGTGGAAAGCAGGGCGGCTCGAAAAAGAAAGACCGAGCCGGTGACACCGCGGAGCCAGCCAGGGCAGTGGCAGGGCCGAACCGGCCGCCGGAGGCCTGCTGGTGGCCCAGGGGGCCCGGGCCTCTGCGTACATCCCGGGGAGCTCAGAGAGCGTGGCCGGCGTGGCTGGGCACTGGCTAGTGAGCGAGCGAACCCCAGGCTGAAGACTAACGGCCACGGAGAGCCGCGCGGAAGAGGCTGGGGATGGGGCCCTTCACCTCTGGCAGTTAGGAGTCGGGAGGCCAAGGAGGCCACCGGGGCCCAGGGGTCTTTCGCGCCCGATGCCCCATGTCTGGGGTCCGACAGGCGCGCGTACGGGGCTGCAAGGGGTGGGACTTTTGACCTGGCTTGGAACACGTGAGGCTGAGGGCATGGGCATCTCAAGAGCAGGATGCACACCACGGGGCTCAAGGACAAAGCTTCCTCCGGCAGAGCAAGGACCGGGAAGGAGCACGGGAAGGCGAACAAGTTGAGCAGAGCTCGACAAAAACCCGACGGAGACGCCCAGGACAGGCGATGAGGGCCCAGGCTCTCGACAGGTGAGGCTATCGCAAACACGAGGAAAGGAGGCAGATGCTTGCAGTGCGGAGGGCTGACCGGACCGGGGCCGGTGGGACATTCGCCTTTGACCTCCGGGAGCCCGGATGCGGGCTCGAGCAAGATCACAAAGGAAGTTTCTGTCGGGGGGTTTGAACCGATCCACACAGAAACCGTCTGGGCCACAAGCCGGTTGGCTCCCGCTCTCTCAATAGAAACTCGGGTGTCGTGACGAGACCCAATGATACTCAGTGCCAGCGGCCGCCAAAGAGCCTGTTTCTGGGTTACCTGTCGCCGCTTTTACAGCTGGGTGAGCTGCACTCAGCGCCCGGTTTCCCCTCCTTGTCCGATAGCCTTGCTTTGGGCAGCCGCCTTTGTCCCGCTCTCTGCCACCCGTCAGCCAAGCACAGAGCCGGGGCTGTCTGGCCCGCAGGCTTAGCCCAAGGGATCCCGGCCCTCTTCTCATCCCCAGCCAGATTTCTCGGGGGGGGGGATTCCAGATTAGTGGATTTTCTGACCGCTAAACAGGAATCCCACCTAGCGAGGGTCCTCGGTGCCGACAGCCCACTGCAGGCTCTCAAGGAGATGGCCCGCCACCTTTCCGAGAGCACGCAGCACGCGCAGTCGACGAGCTTTCAGCGCCACCCGGATAGCTTAACAAAAGACCCGGTTGGAAGCAAAACGCCATTCGCAAAACAGTGTTGCCCCGGCCTTGTTCTTTCCCCTTCCCTCTCCTGCTCTTACCGTGGGCTGTCCCAAGCTAACCGCAGAGAAATGACGGTCTGCTTTTCCCCGGGCCTCGGATCTCGTGCTGCCGTCGTCGGGACACGTTGCGGCCAGCAATGCTCTCGGCGTTCTCGGGTCGTCCCCGGTTGGAGCGACGACGGCTTCTCGCAGCTCCTCGAGAGGTTCTGCTCTGACGTAAATGACCCGTAAATAATCAGTCCCCGACTCTGAAGCGATGGGCACCTGCCTGATGGTCACACGAGGGATCCTTTTCACCGGCAGCTCCCCTGTCTTGGCAGGGATCCCCTCGGCAGAACTGCCCGTCCAAGGCTCTGCGCCAACAGATGCCTGTGAAAGAGCCTCGCCGGCGAGTCTGCCCGGGCTTGTCGGATGTCGGCTCGGTGCCGGCGGACAGTCGCCGACGGCCCGCAGACAGGGGCCGTCGGACAGTTCTTCAACGACTGCGGTCGCCGCTTGTCGAGGGAAAAGGGCGCTGCCACCGCTCACGTCATCGCAGAGACCTCCCTCGGGTCCCGCTTCTCGTAAAACACTCCCGGACACGGAAAGAACCGGTCGATCGACGGCTTCGGGACGTCCACCGCGCGGCTCCCCGGCAGCGGCCCCATGGCCGAGTCGACAGACGGACGGACCCTGTTCTACGGCCCGTCTGAGCGCCTTGCCAAGCACGGTCGCTTCGGCTCGTGCGAAACCTCTGTCGAGCTTTGGGCTTCTGCCCTCCGTCCAACATGACACTTTTGGCAGGAAGCTACTTAAAATTCCTGCCGCAAATGTCCCGGGGGCCGCCAGACGTCCCGGGCCAAATGTCGGTTTTGGAATCTCCTCCATTGTGTCAAGATCCGCAGGGAGGTTTTCCTCAATCCCGACGCCTTCCGCCATGCAAGACGGGGCGGGCAACGTCTCCTCCTCTGAACCGGCTCGCGCTCCAGGGCTGGCAACGCGCTGGGCTCCTGAAGCTGCGATCCTAGGAGCAAAAACTGCTTCCCGACCTGTTAGGCCTCTGCAACCGCAAAGGTCTGAATCGGCACGGTCCGCAGGGCTTGCGCGAGCGGAAGGCGATGGATCTCCTGTAGCTTGGCCGTCTTCGGCACGTACAAACACCCGCGCGCCGATCTGTTTGTCCCCGTTCCTCCGATGGCTCGACAGGAGCGCTCGCAAAGCATGCCGTATTTTTCTGGCTTCCTCGTTCACTAACAGAGCCTTCTCTGCGTCCAAAGCCGCAACGGGAATGAGGCAGGGAAAAGCCGACAACAGGTTCGCTGCTAGTTTTTCTGCGATGAGAGCGACCGTTGCGTGAAGATCCAGCGAGCGACGGCTAGAGTCACCCAAAGGCTCGGTGACGGCTCTTGGCGCGGTCTCGACAAGGCGGCGCGCTAGTTCTCCGCTGAGTGAGTTCTGCAGCGGCTTCCCAGAAATCTCTCGGACAACCGAGTCCCAAAGAGCTTCACCGAGGACCTCGCTCCCGCTTCTTACACGCTGCCGCGTGTCCAGTTTAGACAGGAACCGCGTCAAAAGCCTGCCGTAGACCGCATCGGCAATCGTTTGACTCGCACTCTCCTCCCTGCTGGGCGGAGGCGCAACACGCTGGCAGGACGAGGTCTCCCCTCTACAGATCCTGGCCAGCACTCGACCGATTACCTTCACGTGAGTCAAGTCAACGTCTGCAGGCGTGGCTTTCTTTTCTGTGGAGGCAGACGTGCTGGCGGTGGCTGGCAGAGCGCGAGATAAAAGCCTGCCGATAGCGTCTTCCAAACATCCGGGGCCTACCTCCAGAGTTGGCAGTGGGGGGCTTTGGTGTTGGGCAGTGCTTTTGCTAGCGTCTTCCAACTGCCTCTCCCCAAACTCCCCAGGCTCTCGAGGCGTCGACAGAGCCGATGAGGGCGCTTTGGCCATGGCGCCTTCCCGCCGGTCGTCGGCCATTTCACTCCAGAGCCAAACATCCGAGCCCTCTGCCGGCGCGCTCTCGTTGCCGCTCGGGTCTGCGTAAACTGTGACTTTGGAAGCCCCGTCGTGCAGAAGGTCGGATAAACCGGAGCGAATTATCTGGGCCGCCAGCACGGCTACGTCAGGGGGGAGACCCTGATCTTCAGAAGGCTGCGGATCTGTGGCCAGACACGTGGACAGCTGAGTTAGCACCAACTCGACCGCATCTGCACTGATCCGCGACGGATCGCTTCCAGGAACTGCGTCGCCCTGAGCACGCAGCTTGCGCGCGGGGACCGGTTCACTCGTCAGCCGGGCACACATGCTTCCGAAAAAGCCTCAGCATAAATCCTGGTCGAGGACCGCGAGGGCCGAGGCGCCAGCGCATACGTGGGCAGGGACTCGCTGCCTGGTGCTTCCTCGTTGGGAAATACCTTTCGGCGTGACGAAAAGCAGAGCTTCCTTGCGAGCTGCCTGCCCATCCAGGGGACGGCTCCTCCGGAGCAGACCGCCCTTGGCTCACTTAGCGTGTCCGGGCGGGATGCGGAAGGCTCGAGCTCCGGAGCTCCTCTGCAGGGACTCGGCTTCCCAATGCCCCCTGATGGGGGCTGCGCAACCCCGAGGACTTGCAGCGGCCTGGGCGGTTGCCCGTCCCTTTGCACGTGTTCCTCGGCACGGAGCGCTCTTCCCCAGACACCGATCCGCGAAAAGAAGTTTCTCTGCGTGCCCCCAGTTGGGCGATCCTGCTCCAAGCAAGGAGAAACGTCTTCCCTAGCGAGACGGTGTGGACCCGCGCCACCTTTTCCGGCTGATTCGTATGGAACGTACGTCTGTCTACGAGGAAACTCCCGCCTGGGGTGCTCATGCAGCGCTCCCACGCGCGTGCCCTCCCCGCGCAAACCAGAAATATTGCCAGCCGGATGAGGAGGGGCCCCCGCTTGTTCGGCCTCTGCAATGTTGGCTGCCCTGAGCTCTCCGCCTGGAGGCAGCGGCCGGCTTCTTGCCGGAGACGGGCCGGGGGACCGTTGGGAACGCAGCAGGCTTGGCTGACCGCTACTCTGTCGCTTCCCATGCCCTGGCAATACGCCGGCCGTTCTCAACTCGGCGTCACTGGCCTCCTCGTCTCTGCCATCTCGCTCTGCCATCTCGCTCTCGGCGTATCGTCTTATCACCAGACGGCCCGTGTCTGGGACCTCGGGCACAGACCACGTCACGAGATCTGTCATTTCGTGAGGCATTTCTTCGGTCAGGTTGTTCTGCAGCTGAAACACAACAGAAAGGGCAATCACTGGGAGAACTCCTTCCCTTTGGGACATGGCAACAGCTGTCGACCGGGTGCGATCCAAACTTGTAGGAGGAACAAGAACAGCCCCCCCGTCAAAAGTGGTGTGCATCGCCAGAGCCGTTGGGACAGGGCAGGGTATCAATCTGACCGACTCAAGATAGGAAAAGAAGAAACTGCCCGGTCAGCAAAATACCAGGAGATTGGGACCTTTGAGCATTATAGCACTCTGCTCATCAAGTTTAAAAACCATCAGGGCCCACTTGGTTCTGTGTTGGACCCTGACCCTGCAAACACTGATGCAACGTGCTCAGAAACAAGCATGAGAGCAGTCCTGCTGAGCTCCCTGGGCTCACAGACGTGCTTGAAATAAGGCACGTGCATGTTGTTAGACGGGGGCTGTAGTCATCCCCTTCTTTATGAAATTCTAAACAGAGCGGCCAGCATATCCACTGGCTATATATAGATATATGAAATTGTACCGTGGCTTTGTTTCTAACCTCCGTTGCTTTAGGAAACAGGTGTTTCTTTTTGCACAGCTGTTTTCTCGGGCCATCCATTGGATGTTTTTCCTCCGAGCTTTTTGTCGTTGTCCACGGAAACCCTGGCCAGATCTCCTGAGAAACATGTAAATGGTTAGTTAATATCACTTCAGCTGCGATCCATTTCTGCTCCGCCCCCGCCCTCTTACCTGGGTTTCTTTTTGCTACAGCGATTGTAGCACTTTTGAACTGATCCCAAGAAGTTGCCAATACCACTGGTGAGCTATAGCTCAGAGGTTCGCACGCTGTTTCAGCGGCGCGCACCACTGATGAATCAACGCAGGCCACGTCCTGTTGTTTTGAGGGCACAATGAGAGGGGAAGCACGCGCCTGCCCCCTACGAGCTGGGAAGGGGACCACGCTCCACATCTTTCTTTTCTAGGAGACGTTCAAAGTCATCTTCTCCACACCTTTTATAGCAAGGCCTTGCAGCGGGAGGTTAGATATCCAACTGAGCGCTTGGATGAGGGGCACGAACCCGGAAAAATGGAAGCGGGACAAGGCCCCTTTGGAGGGGGCCCAAAAGCAGACATCAGTCTCGTTGGGGAGAGAGAGTCGGCACCAGGCCCTGGGGTCACTCGAGTGGTGACCCTGTCCAGGGCCTGGGATAGACCTGACAATCCAGGAGTCTCCCCACTCTTCTGCTGGCAGCACATTTCCGTGAGCCTGACTCGGAAAGTGTGCGTGCCCCGCCCCTCTCTTCCCCTCCCTCCCTAGACTCGTGGACAGAGAGGTGGAGACTCGGCCCGATTCGGCGGCCAAATCTCCGACTTTGAATCGAATCGGGGGGACCGATCCAAAGGTCCGAAGCGAGTCGAAGCTCTCCGAATCGATCTGGAAAAGATTCAGAGAGCTTCGACGATTCGGACGAGCCCCGCCCGCTGCAGCAGGGAGCTGGAGCCGGACTTGGAGGCCCTGAGGGGATGAGATGATTAGAAACACCGATCGCGTGATGAAATGCCATGGCCAGAGAAGTACGGGTCGAATCTCGCCTCTCTCTGGCGCCACGGAATGGCATTGGCTCACAATCACTCTGCGCTAAGCAACCTCTGGCCTCAAATGCCCGGCCCCGTGATGGGCTATGTCGGTCTCATTGGAAGACAAGCCATATCCTTCCTCCCAGTAGGGTCAGAGTATGGCTGCCTGGGCGACATGCAAAGCTCTAGGTGATTTGAGGGACGTCTTTTCTTAGACCAACTATATAGTTGGTTAAGAATTCCCCGCTGCCATTTATATCATTGTCTGCCACATTTTTCACCCAGTCACCGTCTTTTTTTCACCCAGTCACTGTTTTTTTGCTTTGTTAGAGAAGTTTCTGGGCACCGGATCCCCTTCTTCTGTGCCCTTGTCTAACGTTGCTCCCAAATTTGACACCCGGTCCAATAAAAGACACCCCCAGAAGTCCCCCCACCCTCGCTTCGCACTTGCATCGCCTTTGTCGGGCACAGAGGCACAGAGGGCCTACCCCTATGCCTGACTCCCTCAAAGCCCTCCTTCTCCGGCCCCCGCTTCTCCTTCCTGACCCAGAGTCTCCGCCACGCACCGGAGGAACCCTGGTAGGAACTGGAGGAGAATCCCAGTCCTTTGCTGCCTCCCCCACAGATCCCTTTGGGCACAGCTCAGCTGCTCGGCACAAACAGGCGTAGGACAAGGGAAATGGCAATAGCAGAAGGGAAGGGAGAACTAAAGGAGGGAGGAAAGGCCCCCGTGGAAGTCAGCAGAGCGGTGGGGGGAGCGCTGGTTGGGTGTGCCGCGGTCTGTGCTCGATCCCCACTGGCTGAGACTTGGCGCAGTCCCTTGGCTTTCAGTGACAGACAGCTGGAGAGCCCGACAGAGCTGCAGGGGCATATACGGGGGGGATCCAAGCTGCCCGCCCGTCAAAAGGGTACTACTGCGTATTTTGTCCCGAGCCCAAACGTTCTCGGGGGCCTGGCCTGGCTGAGATTTGGCCGAGCTCACAACTGGCCGTTAGACCATGTTGTTGCGTGCAAAGGCCCTGTGACCTGGGGCTGAATTACAGCCCGCGACGGAGAAGGGCCACAGCCCTCAACTCCTTAACCACGCGGAAGGGCTGGGGACCGGGCAGGGAGAGGGGCCCAGGGCACCGCATGGCCCAAACCTGAGCACTTCTGGGGGTGGCAGAGGCGGACAGATAAGACGGGTGGCTCTGGGACCAAGAATAGGAATCAGATTCCCCCTCACCTGTACGAGCCTCAGCCAGAGAGACCTGCCACCATGAAGGTGTGTTCAGGTCTGAGCCGCTGGCCTGGGGCTCTGGACCAGGCCCGGCAGGCTGATGTCAGCCCTCTATGAGGTCACTGACTCTGGCCCAATGCCCGGGATCCTACTGATGCACCTCTGTGAGCTCACCGTCTGCCCCGCTCTCCCCACCCAGCCGGGCTCACCCCCTACCCATAGCAGCCCCTTCACCATACAGCCTAGGGGTGCGTGCAGACGAAACGAGGGGCACGTGCGGACGACACTTTAAAGCGGGTTAAGTGCTTTTGCGCTGCTTTGATGCTGTGGGCGTTTGCACATGGCGGCAGCATATCGCACGTGAATTCCAGCCGCCGTAGCATGTGCAGCAGTGTCACGCGCCTTCCATGACGTTGGGGCGCAGCAAACTCAAACGCCTCCGAGGATTTTTAGTTGGCTGCCCTACAGCCGCGGAGCCAAGTGCCAGGCTCCGTGCGGCTCAGGGGCTGTGCAGGCAGCTTGGCAGCAGCCCGGGAAGGCAGGCACCACCAAAGAAAAATAAAAAGCAGCGAGCCTGCTCTTTTTTTCTCCTCCCCCCCCAGAGCCTGCCTGCAAGAGCTGCGCAGGGACCTGGTCCTTCCCTCTGTGGCTGCGGTGCCCCCTGGGACTGCCCCAGCTGGGTGCCTGCAGGCGGGTACCACCTGGCGGGACACTGCTGCTGCGGAGCAAAGCAGCAGGAGGGGTGCGTGTGTCCCCTCCACAGCCCAGAGACCAGCCTGCCCACCAGTAGCTCACCCTCCCCTGCCCTCCCCACTGCCGGAGAGGCAGGTAAGACACGAGTGTACACGACATGGGGGTTTCCCCCCCGGAGCCCAGCCTGCCCACCAGTAGCTCCCCCTCCCCTGCCCTCCCCACTGCCGGAGAGGCAGGTAAGACACGAGTGTACACGACATGGGGGTTTCAGTTTCATAGTATGTAGGGTCAGAAGGGACCTGAGGAGATCATCTAGTCCGACCCCCCTGCCGTGGCAGAAAAGAGTACTGGGGTCAAACAACCCCGGCCAGATGTTCGTCCAGCCTCGTTTTAAAGACCCCCAGGGTAGGAGCCAGCACCACTTCTTTTGGAAGTTGGTTCCAGGTCCTAGCCGCCCTGACAGTGAAATAGCGCTTCCTAATGTCTAGCCTGAAACTACCCTCCACTAGCTTCTGTCTGTTGTTTCCTGTAACTCCCGGGAGTGCTTGGGGGAACAGGGACTCCCCCAAGCCTGCTGGTCCCCCTTGACTAGTTTGTCG